AGAGAGAGAGAGAGAGAGAGAGAGAGAGAGAGAGAGAGAGAGAGAGAGAGAAAGAGAATGTCAAGTATTTAAAGGTTGCAGTTGCTCTATGTCACCCTTCAACAACCCAATGAATCATTCATCCTGATCAACCATTGCACTTTAAACAGTGTACAGTGTATAAACACCATACTATATTTGTAATTATAAACCTTTAAAATGAGGTAACATGATGAGATGGTTTGATGTGGCAATTAAAAAATGTCCTATTAGCGTGAAGACATGAATGAACAATATAGTGAGTGTTCTTGCTCATCGGCAATATTCTACTAAGCTAGTACACACTGTAAAAAAAGGATCTTACCTACTTAACTGGCATCCTACTCTGCACAATACTATATATATTCGCCCTCCACTGCCAACAATACAATATGAGCCTGTGCCAGAACCAGACTTATTTACTATATATGTGATGCATAAAATTGTTTTGTACTCCCCTTATATAGAAAACAAAGCATATATATATAATATATATATATTCATATCTGTTTGTTATACCCCTAACTGACCAGAGCCCTGCCCTTCCTCACCAGAATAGACAGAATGAGGAAGTAATATTTCTGGTAAATCAAGTTATTATACGAGTCCATAAAAGAGATGGAAAAATAATGTTTTATATTTAGAAGTAAAATGTGGGCAAACAGAGACTTCACGACTCTTCCTTTTTGAATTTGCAAAATCAATGTTTTTTTTAACATTTTCAAAATAAGTCACGTCTGCCATTTTTCAGGAGAGAAGCAACGTGGCATACAAATGTTCTCCACACCACAATAATCCACACAGATACAATTTAAAGCCCTTGACATACCTTCCCACATCCATACCCAGCCACCCAAAGTTTAAACTGATAAGACAGTAATTTTTCATCTCGCATAATATTACAAGTAAGCCTAGTTTTCTCCCCCTTCAACACAGCTATGCCACCACAATCTCCAGACAGGACTAAGCATGGTGACATCTTGCTGGATAAGCTCTTTCTTTCATCTAGGATCAGAGTGACCTGTCCTGTACATTGCATATCTCTCATACCAACATCAAAAGTGTTTCACAAACTTTTATAATTTTGAGAAAGTTCTCTTTGCATGAAGCCACAAATGGAAAAATACTGTAAAGAGTACGGGCCCTAACTTTAAAAAAAAACACAGGAAAAACTTCAGTAAATGTATTTGAATAGATGTGGTTTTTGACTACACACCTGCATATTATTACTGTCAAATGTCTCCAAAATAGTTGAGCAGGGGACACAAATTCTATTCATTAAGAAATTAACAAACTTGGAAGGTAAACTGGTCGGTTAGAATTTGGGACCGAGATAACTAATTATTTCAACATTAAAATGCACTGAAATATTTCAATCCTTGAATTTGGAACTCAAGAAATTTAGAAAGAATAGTAGACTTGAAAACAAGCAGCATAGAATGGATCAGGTAAAAGAATTTTTAAAATTGTGCAAACTTGAAGACTATACATTTTTGAATAGCAAAAGAAAAAATATGTGTGACGACGCGGTGGAATCAGGCGTTCGTCAATTTTTTTACATGTGCAGTTATCGGTATCACTTTACAGCTTGTTCAATTGTCTTGCTTTTGGTGAAAAAAATACTATCTTCGTCTACCATGAATTGAGGTCGAGATATTTGCGATTGAAAGAGGCGGGGGTCGCCTGGTTTAAGAGGTAAAATTATCGAGAAAATGGCCGCCAAAGTTTGATGACTTCCAAAGCTTGAGAGTCCTTAGAAACTGCAAATTTATATTTTTGTGCCTTAAATCAACATTTCTTAGTGAAATCCACACAATGTTTTTTAAATGGACCTTGAAGGTGTTGAGTCAAGAAACGAAAGTTCGATAAAAATTGCCAAATGGACAGTGCCTGGTTTCAATGCCTCACATATTATATATAATCACATGCCAAAAACCTGGGTTTTGGATATGCCTGGTTTTCTCAAAATGTTGAAAGTACTAGACTATTTCTTAGTGAAGTAAAAAGTAGACTTGTTGATCATTCTGTGCAGAACATAGAGGAAGAAGTCTGTTGCAAGTATGTTTTCTCTCTTACTAAGTTGTACAATTCCGTTTCAAGAAACAGCTGAATATGTCACCAACCTCCCACGGTATTGGAGCAGAAGAGTCACAGCTTTGTTAAAAACCCATAGCCTTCGATTAAATAACAATCTCTATCGGTGGAAATTAACTAATTCGCCCTTATGTGAGAGGTGTAACTCTCGTGAAATTTAACTAATTCGCCCTTATGTGAGAGGTGTAACTCTCGTGAAATTTAAGATGAATTTCACTTTATTTTCTATTGTTAATCCCTCCCAGCCTGACTCGGCCCAGTGACAGAAATATGCCATGTTTGACCCATGATAAGAGATATGTGCACAACCTGTACTTATTCATTACGGAAACTTTACTTATCAAATGAGTGTTTTATATGATGTGATGTGGGCCAATGGCCTTAAACACTGAATAAACTTACTTACATGCCAAAAAACAGACATGTACATTGATACTGAACTAAAACTTGTCAATTAACAAAGCAACAAATCACATATCTGGACGTTCTCAGATTCTGAACATAGAGAAATATTTTGATAAAACCCTGTGAGAACATATTCAAATGACATGTCTCCTCTAAAAAAAAAAACAAGTATTGAAAACAACTGCACACACAATGTAAGCACTCACCGAATGTCCACTGAAGTAAAGCAATCTCTTACCATCTCGCCACTTTTTATATTAAAAATTGTTATTCTATTGGCCCTACAAGGACATTATTTGAACATTTGGAGATTGAAATTAAAGCCAGTGTTTTGCTTTGCAATTTACACAAAGACTGTAAAATCATAAAATATATTTCACATTTCTCTTTCTTTCTGATTTTAAATGCTAAATCTAAGATGCACTCTTGAGTTTTGCCTCCTGTATAAAAAAAAAATCAAAAAAATCCCAAGCCAAATGGTATTAACAATTTAGTGTTATGCGGCCAAGGCAACTCACGATGTGAATGCAAGTCTGGTTTCCAACTTCTAGCAGACATAATAAAATAAAATTGGCTGGAGAAAAGAATTTGAACATACTGAAAATATCTTAAACTTGAACAGATACCTTATTTTTATAGATGTCTGAAGATATAAAGATGTGTAGCTCATGATTAAATTTATGGCAAAGTAAAAGGGAACACAAAGAATAAAGATAATGGTCCAACTGGAACTGGAGATATTCTTGACCAGGCAGGCCAAACTTTATTTGCAAAATAATCAAAATCCCTAGTTTGATAGAGAAAACCCATCAAAACTGGACAGTGTACACTGAATGGGTTAACTGTTTTTTACAACTCCCTGCATAAAATAACCACTTGTTGATTACACATAGAACACTACAATAAATAAGCTTCTAGATCTAGTTTGCTGATGATGTTATCAGGGACCAAAAAAAAAGTTTGAACTTTTTTGCTCTGTTTCAGTAAGCGTTTTATGGCACACTTGCAACACAATAAAAGCTATCGAATATTAATTAGTACTGGAAATTAGGTGATACAATAAAGTAACAAACACAAAAAAAGGAAGAGGAGAGATCAGGACAATAGATGTTTGATATAGAGGAAAGAAGGAGCAAACCACACCAGAGCACCCCCCAACCACCCATTTCAAACATTTGTTACTGTCTCTAACCGAACAGAAGGAAACCATCTGTACATGAAAAGAAAAGAAGGAAGGAACGATACAACATTTATGCTAAGTCTCAGGACCACAACAAACATAAAAAACACAATCATGTACCGATTATAACCATGAAATGAAAAAAATGGATCTAAAACAAACCAACAAACACATTTAACATAGGCTCGGCTACAAAAGACACAGGAGGGTTACAGATTTACAACCCTCAATTTGCTTTTAAACAATTTTTTAAATTATTTTCTCAATATCATGGGTTCTTTTTTTTAGGGAAGAGACTAGCCGTACTTAATGACGGCTAGACTGTTAGGCTAGCCGTACTTATTACGAAAAAAAAAATTAATATGAGGGCTAGATCTAGACTGACAACAACAAAAAAAGCCAACTGAATTGTAAATAATTTTTGTTTGCAGTACCTAACTTAAAGTATTTGTATTTGAGCGAAACCAGGTGACTTTTAAATGACAGTGCATGTATTTTAAACCTGAATAATTACTAATGAGACCTGTTTTCTAGGCCCAATGTATAGGGCTAGCTTTCTTGGCTAGTAAGGCTAGCCGTACTTATTATTGATGGCTGAATTGTAAAAGAAATTTTTAATTTGCAATGCCTAATTTGTATTTCAGATGAAAACAAAAGGTGCCTCACTGACTTGCATGTATTTTAAACCTGAATAATTACTAGATCTAGATCTAATGAGACCTGTGTACTCAACATGTTTGAGTCGATAGGGCCAAACCTAAATCTAAGTACGGTTAGACTGGCAGTAAGAGTTTTAAGTAAGAATTTATCGGCATTTGCAACACAATCAAGTCATAATATAAGTGCCGAAGATTAAAGGCGTCAAAAGAGAGTTGTTAGCAATCCAGGTCAAAAGAGAGAAACATAAAAAAGAAGGAGAGATCAGGATGATAGATGTTTGATAGGAAAGAAGGAGTCCAAGTCTTGCTCCAGCACACGATAACAATAAAAGATAAATGTCCATGCACAAGAACAACAAATAAACTTTAAAAAAAGAGTGCAAGTCACAAAGACCAAAGATTGTTAGGTTCCTGATAAGAAAACAGGTTTGGAAAACTAAGGCCCAAAAATGTAGGAGAAATAAAATATCCCATAAATTGCCATAAAAAGGAAAGTTCAAGACTAGATCTAGGACACCAACCAGAAAAGGAGCATAACATGAGAAAATGCATCTTTCTTCCTTTTTCTAAGACAAGATCTAACTTCATATGACCTCTTCACTTGCTCTAGTCATTGGACCCCCCATAAAAACTACAAAAGAAGTTATGATAAAGGCCTATCCTAAGACTATCATCAGCTGGTGACCCGGGAGGTCAACTCGACAAGGCCGCGACAGAGTTGAAGAACTCCCGGGTGCTAGATTCTAGATCATGCTCGGCACGGGTTGACCCAATAAAAATAAGAAACAGTGAAAAGGATCAAAATAGCCCAGCTCCAAACATATTCATTTTTAGTATTCCAATAACTGTTTCAATAGCAAAGGTTCTTGATTTTGAAAGCAAGAGAAGAAAACAAGGTGAAACTACAGGTCGATTGTGTTCCTCATTATCATAAACATTGGATCAGAGCGACAAAACACCGCGCCGACGTCACTCTAGCAGTATTCCGATCATTAGCGAGGGCGATTGTTATGCTCTCGATAGAAGAGGCCGATTACTCAATCGCATCAACACTCGGGCGGTCTAACAAGACACTACTAAACGGGGAATGACCAAATAAAAAGCAACAGTAGCGACAGAGCGATTCTATGCTAATGATATTGTAATAAAAGCATTCTTCTTACCTTCCGTTGCGGAGCCACACAGCTCGATAACAACGTGCAGTTTTCCATTTGGTTCCAAATCGATCTATGAACAGACAGACAAAACAATTAGGAACCACCCAATTCTGACATCATTCACGCATATATTTTATAGATTTGAGCAAACTGAAACCCGAGAATAAACTTAAGAACTGCAATTTAGGGACAAGAGTGCAATGGAATCCCAAATGATAATGTTTAATGCTAAGAACGTGAATTTCGGAAAATGTCCGGATGAGGCACCCCGATTCAGCTTACTCCAGAAAATGGCTACCGATGCCGTGCTCGATAGAGCATTTACCAAAGACTTACACAGCTAAAACAAATGAAATAAAGCATAAAAAAGGGTGTGACAACTTACCCAAAAGTCAGATTTTCCTTTCACATCATCAAACGGAATCGTGCAGTTGGCAACGAACTCGTCGGGTGGAATTGCGGCGTCATGAAACACCGTTAGATTCACATTCTGTCCATTGTGAACTTCCGACGTGAAATCCTCGTTCCAAACCCACTGTGGTTTAACACTTTTGGGCTTCGTAGTGGTCTTAGCTATGTACACTTCATCCACATCAATATTCACGTAGGGCTCAATCATCTGCGAGGCTTTTTCTTTCGTGGAACCCATCTGCAATCGTAGCGAGAAGTCCGTGGGTTTGAGATCCACGGCCTCGCAAACCTTTATTTTCACCGAACCGTTGAAGACCATTTTGGCCCTCCGCGACATTGAAGCCCGCTCAGAGGCCTCAGCAGAGGATCGGGGATAACTCAGCCAAATCCTGCCGTGCGGGGTAGCATTTAGAGGCCTGGCGATCAAATTTAATCCAGTTGAACTGAGAATATCACAGCAAAAAATATCACGGAAGTTGTAATACGAATTTTAGCACAGCCGTCAAGAAAATGCAGATACGTTTGCGCATGCGCTGTGATTAGTGGTCTTACCTCCGACCCGAGAAATTCTCGTGCCCGGATCACTCGGCCTCGCGGTGAGGCCACGGTGAGGGGCGAAATGGGATCCATGGATGAGAGAGAGAGAGAGAGAGAGAGAGAGAGAGAGAGAGAGAGAGAGAGAGAGAGAGAGAGAGGGT